ATTCCCTTTTCCATTCCCATTCCCGTTCCCATTCCCGTTCCCATTCCAGTTCCCATTCCCATTCCTGTTCCCATTCCCATTCCTGTTCCCATTCCCGTTCCCATTCCTATTCCTGTTCCCATTCCTATTCCTGTTCCCATTCCCATTCCCGTTCCTGTTCCTATTCCTCTTCCCATTCCCATTCCTATTCCTCTTCCCATTCAGCATCTCCCACTGGGATATTCCCATTTCCATTCCCATCTCCTTGAGATGTTCCTGTCATTCCCACATTCCCGTTGTTATTCCCACATTCCCGCTATTATTCCCGCTCACCATCAGCGCGTGCCGGCTGCCCAGCAGGCCGCCGCCGTAGCCGGAAGCCAGCCCGGCCATGGCTCCGTTGTGGGCGGCTCCGATGATTCCGTGCACGTCTCCGTGCGCTCCGGCCATGGCGGGCGCGGCTCCCACCGCGTGATTCCGAAGGACGTGGATGGCGTCATCCAGGCGCTCCAGGCGATCCTCGATCCGGCTCTGCTGCGGGGCAAAGCCTCAGCAATTCCCATATTCCCCAATCCCCACATTCCCGAATCCCCAAATCCCCACATCCCCCAATTCCCACATTCCCCCATCCCCACGTTCCCCAATCCCCACATTCCCCAATCCCCACATTCCCGAATTCCCGGAGTTTTCGTCGTTCCCTAAGACGCGAATCCCGCCAGGATTTTCGTGGGCAAAACAGGTTCGATGATTCCTCATGAACAGAAATCCGGCCGCGCCGGCGAAAACCGCGAGGGCTCGGCGGAGTTTGAGTGAGATCCAAAGGAAAATCAGGATTTGGGAAAGGGGGAAAAAAAAGAAAAAAGCGGGAAAAGAAGCGACGGCCGCGACAAAAAGCGGATAAAGGGATTTAAAGGGATTTTCCGTCGCGGTTCCGCTCCCAGCGGGGAATTTTCCTCCCTCCCCCCACCGCGGCTGATCCCAGGATCCAACGGAGACGGAGGGAGAGGAACCTCGCCGGGAAAGGTTGGAAAAGCTCCACGGGAGAATTCCCAAGGGTCGGAAAAGACGGGAAATTCCCAAGGGTCGGAAAAGACGGGAAATTCCCAAGGGTTGGAAAAGCTCGACAATTCTGAAGGGATGGGATGGCAATGGGAAAATCCTGAGGGATTTGGGATCGCCATGGGAAAATCTCAAAGGTTTGGGAATCTGGGATCTCCACAGGAAAATCCCAAAGGTTTGGGAATCTGGGATCTCCACAGGAAAATCCCAAAGGTTTGGGAATCTGGGATCTCCACAGGAAAATCCCAAAATCCCAAAGGTTTGGGAATCTGGGATCTCCACAGGAAAATCCCAAAGGTTTGAAAATTTGGGATCTCCACAGGAAAATCCCAAAGGTTTGGGAATCTGGGATCTCAATGGGAAAATCCCAAAGGTTTGGGAATCTGGGATCTCCACAGGAAAATCCCAAAGGTTTGGGAATCTGGGATCTCAATGGGAAAATCCCAAAGGTTTGGGAATCTGGGATCTCAATGGGAAAATCCCAAAGGTTTGGGAATCTGGGATCTCAATGGGAAAATCCCAAAGGTTTGGGAATCTGGGATCTCAATGGGAAAATCCCAAAGGTTTGGGAATCTGGGATCTCCACAGGAAAATCCCAAAGGTTTGGGAATCTGGGATCTCCACAGGAAAATCCCAAAGGTTTGGGAATCTGGGATCTCAATGGGAAAATCCCAAAGGTTTGGGAATCTGGGATCTCAATGGGAAAATCCCAAAGGTTTGGGAATCTGGGATCTCAATGGGAAAATCCCGAGGGTTTGGGGATTTGGGATCTCCAGAGGACAATTCCAAAGGGACGGGAAAGCTCCACGGGATCATTCCGAAGGGATTGGAAGCAGCCACAGGAGTTCCCTGGGAATTCCCAGTAAACACGGAGCCGGGAAAATCCAATCCGGGCAAATTCCCACCGCTTCCGACCGGGATGGACAAAGGGGAGGGATCGGTTCCGCCCCGTCCTCCGCAGCTTCCGCACAGAAAGGGGGAAAATTCCATGGGAATTCCCGCCCGGAACGCTCAGGCCGCCGGAGATTCCGTGAGAGATCCGTGGGATCCCGGAGAATCGCCTCCCTCATTCCAGAAGTGTTCCCTTATCCCGGAACATTCCCGAATTCCAGGATCATTCCCGAATTCCAGGCTCTTTCCCTAATCCGGGATCATTCCCAAATTCCAGGATCTTTCCCTAATTCCAGGATATTTCCCTAGGGAACATCCCCTCCCTCGCATTTCCCCGACAACTCCCGCGCTCTTCCCGCTTTTCCCGCCGGGAAAAGAGGGAGGAAAGGGAAGGAAAAGGGACGGAAGGGAAAGGAAAGAGGAGGGAACAAGGAGGAAGAGGAAGGAGGAAGAAAGAAGAGGGAAGAACAAGGAGGAAGAGAAAGGAAAAGGAAGGAAGAAGAGGAAGAGGGAGATGAAGATGAAGGAAGGAAAAGGGAGGAGGAAAAGGAAGAGGAATAGGAAGGAGAAAGAGGAAGAAAGGAGAGGAAGAAGAAGGAAGAGGAAGAAGGAGAAACAGGAAGGAGAAAAAGAAAGAAGAGGAAGATGAATGGAGAAGAGAAAGGAGAAGGGAAGAGGAAGAAGAAGGAAGGAGGAGGAGGAAGATGAAGGAGAAAGATGAAGGAGGAAGATGAAGGACGAGGAGGAAGAGGAAGCAGCCAGGGAGGAATGAGGAAGAGGAAGGAAAAGGAAGCAACAAGAGGAAGATGAAGGATGAGGAGGAGGAAGCAGCTGGGGAGGAAGGAAGGAGAAGAGGGAGGAAGGAAAGGAGGAGGAAGAAGAAGATGAAGATGAAAGAAGAAGAGGAAGAAGAAAGAAGGAGGAGGAAGGAGGAGGAGGAAGATGAAGGAAGAAGAGGAAGATGAAGATGAAGGAGGAGGAGGAGGAGGAAGCAGCTGGAGAGGGAGGAAGGAAGGAAGGAGGAAGATGAAGGAGGAGGAAGAGGAATGAGGGAGATGAAGGAAAAGAAGGAGGAAGAGGAGGATAAAGGAAGGAGGAAGAGGATGAAGGGAGGAAGGCTTGGGGTGGCTTCCCAGACGTACCAAGGAGTGCAAGGGCCCCTCATAATTGGGCGATGAAGCCGCGGGAGCTCCATTCCCTCCATTCCTAGACCAAACGGCCGTTCCTGCCGAGCAAAACCGGAACCACCGTTAGGAAAACCCCGCTCCCGCCTCCGGAAAAACCGGGAACAACGGGAAAAACGGGAACAACGGCTCATCCCGATCCATTCCTAGGCCAAACGGCCGTTCCTGCCGAGCAAAACCGGAACCTCCGTTAGGAAAACCCCGCTCCCGCCTCCGGAAAAACCGGGAAAACGGGAACAACGGGAACAACGGCTCATCCCGATCCATTCCCGGAGCCGGAAAACCGGGAACAACGGCTCATCCCGATCCATTCCTGGCTCCGGAAAACCCGGAAAAACGGGAACAACGGCTCATCCTGAACCATTCCCAGCTCTGGAAAAACGGGAAAAACGGGAACAACGGCTCATCCCGATCCATTCCCGGAGCCAGAAAAACGGGAAAAGCGGGAAAAACGGGAACAACGGCTCATCCCAATCCATTCCTGGCTCCGGAAAACCCGGAAAAACGGGAACAATGGCTCATCCTGAACCATTCCCAGCTCTGGAAAAACGGGAAAAACGGGAACAACGGCTCATCCCGATCCATTCCCGGAGCCAGAAAAACGGGAAAAGCGGGAAAAACGGGAACAACGGCTCATCCCAATCCATTCCTGGCTCCGGAAAACCCGGAAAAACGGGAACAACGGCTCATCCCGATCCATTCCTGGCTCCCGAAAACCCGGAAAAACGGGAACAACGGCTCATCCCGATCCATTCCCGGCTCCGGAAAACCCGGAAAAACGGGAACAACGGCTCATCCCGATCCATTCCTGGCTCCGGAAAAATGGGAAAAGTGGGAAAAGCGGGAACAACGGCTCATCCCGCACTTTTCCCGCTGCCTGTTCCTTCGGATCATCCGAGCCAGCCCGGAAAAAGGGGATGAGAGTCGGGCTGGGCTGGAACCCACGGGAATTCTTTCCTTATCCAGGTTTTTATTCTCTGTTCTCCATCCTCAAAAACACGGATTGGGAATTGCGGGAATTCTTTCCCTATTCCCGTTTATTTTATTCCTGTTTTTCCTGGAACTCACAGGAATCCTTCCCTCAGCCAGGTTTTTATTCCCTGTTTTCCAAGCTCAAATTCCAGCTTTTCCCTGAAATCTTTTTTCGGGAATTCTCCCTCCGGGACGCGCCGGATCCAGAGGGAAAACAAAACCCCCACGGAATTCTCTCCGGTGAAAATCCCAAAAAATCCCGGAAAATTCCAAACCTCATCCCCAAGCTAAAAAAAAAACCGGGAAAAATCCGGGAAGGGGTGGGGGGAGGGGCGGGGATTGGGAAGAGAGAGCGGGAAGCGGGAGAATTCCGGCGGCTCTTCCCGAAATTCCCCGGAAGGAAGGAGGGAAGCACAGTACCTGCCAGAGAAGGGGGAGACGCGACCGGAGTCGAAGGATTGGATGAAAAGCTGGTGTTGGTGTGCTCTGGAGAGTAAATCTTTAAAAAATGGGATAATCCGTTAATCCGGGATTCGGGAAGAATCCAAACAAGCCGAAAGGTCGGGAATTCCCGGGAAAATCCGCCGGAAAAAAGAAATAAAAATAAAAAATTCCCGAGGTGGGGGTGGAGGGGGGGAAAAAAAAGGGGATTGGGAGAGGATCCCGAGGATTCGGATTCGGTTTGGAGGAAACGGCGTCATGAGAACTCAAAGGAACCCACAGTGCCCAGGAAAGATGGGAATGATCCCGGAAAAAGGGCGGGAGAGCGGGGAAAATCCCAGGATAACGGGAATATCCCGGATTTCTCTGTCTGCTGTTATCCCAAACCGGGGAAAATCCTGGGAATTCTCCGTCTCCCGTTATCCCAAACCAGGGAAAATCCCGGGAATTCTCCGTCTCCTGTTATCCCAAAGTGGGGAAAATCCCAGGATAACGGGAATATCCGGGGATTTCTCTGTCTCCTGTTATCCCAAACCGGGGAAAATCCTGGAATTCCTTCATTATCCCGAAGTGGGAATATCCTGGGATAATGGGAATATCCCGGGATAACGGGAATGGGAAAATCCTGGGATTTCTCTGTCTCCTGTTATCCCAAAGTGGGGAAAATCCCGGGATTTCTCCGTTATCCTGAAGTGGGAATATCCCAGAATTTCTCTGTTCCAAGGTGAGGAATATCCCAGGATTTCTCCGTTATCCCAGGACAGGAACATCCCTGGAATTTCTCCGTTATCCCAGGACAGGAAAATCCCGGGATTTCTCCGTTATCCCAAAGCAGGAAAATTCCAGGATTTCTCCGTTATCCCAAGGCGGGAACCGCAGGGCTCTGAAATTCCAGGAAAAGCAGCCAAATTCCAGGAAATTCCACAGGAATCCCGTGGGAATTCCGTGGCTCCGACCCTTTCTCCCTTCAATCCAACTCCTTCCCAACCCATTTTTCCCCTCATTCCCAAAAATTCCCCGCCGGAATATTTTTGTTTTTTCCCCAAATTCCAAACCATCCCCGAAAAAAACCCCCCAAAAAACCCCAAAATTCCCGGAATTCCCACGGAAAAAAAATTCCTTACGGAAGCGAGAGCTTTTCCCAGCGCGTCTCCGGTCTGAGAACTTCCGGCGGCTCCGCTGCCTCGATTGGCTGCAAAGGAAAAAAAATTCCAGGTGAAAATTCCCAAAAATCCTTCCCGGAATTCCTTTTCCCGTTTTTTTTTTTGTTTTTTTTTTTCTTCTTCGGGAATTTTTTTTCCCGCTTCGGAAAATTCCCGGGGAATGAAAAATTCGGGGAGGGTTTGGATGGGATGATCCAGGTTTTTTTCTTGGAATTGCGGGGGAAAAATGGGAGCTTGGGGAGGAAAAATTGGGGGAATCCTTGGAATTCTGATGGGAATTTTGGGAAAAAATCCTTGTACAGCCCCGTGGAATTCCGACCTGGGGATGGGAGAATTCCCGGAATTCCAGAGGGATTTGGGATGGAAAATCCGGGAAAAAAGAGGGGAAAATGGGAATTGGGGAAAATTCCATGGAATTCCTGCCTCGGGATGGGAAAATTCCCGGGAAAAGCGAAGGATGGAGGGGGAATTCCGGGAATAAACCAGGCCAACCCCTCAGAAAAAGACTTCGGAATTCCCGGTGTTTCCGGAAGGTTCCGAGGTGGAATTCTGGGATTTTCCCGGGTTTTTTTGGGGATTTCCCCCGAATTTTCATGGGATTTTTTTCCAGGTTTTTTCCCGGGGTTTTTCCCAGGATTTTCCCGGAATTTTCCCAAGGTTTTCCTGATTTTTTTCTGGGATTTTCCCAGGGTTTTTCCAGGGTTTTCCCAGGATTTTCCCGACGTTTTTTCCGGGATTTTCCCAGGGTTTTTTCTGCGGTTTTCCCGAGATTTTCCCAGGATTCTTCCCAGGGCTTTTTTAGGGATTTTTCTGGGATTTTCCAGGGATTTTCCCGAGTTTTTCTCAGATTTTTTTTGGGATTTTCCTGGTGTTTTCCTAGAGTTTTCCTAGGATTTTCCCAGGTTTTTTTGGGGGGATTTTCCCAGGATTTTCCCGGGTTTTTTCCAGAATTTTCTGGGGCTTTTCCCGCGGTATTTTTAGGGATTTTCCAAGGTGTTTTCCTGTATTTTTCCCAGGTTTTTTCCCATGATTTTCCTG